GCTAATTATTCAAACGCGAAACAGATACGGTCCGCCGAGGTTCAATGATTTATTCATAGCAGCGAGTTGCTATAATCTAATATTCCGTGGGCGGATAGGTCGGCGGTGCGGCGGCTGCTTTATTGGTGTTACACAGTTTTCAGGTTCCCACTCCCACATACACGGATCTCTGCTTTGATTTATACGAGAAAAACAGGAGGAAGCGAAGGTAAAAAGGCAAGAGGGATTAGAAAGACAGTGTCATCCTGCGTCAGAACAAGACTATGGGAGGAAAAGAAGAAGGGGATTAGGAGAGAGAGTTGAACAGAAGGATAATACGGATTTTTAATTGCATTGTGAACTAATAAATATGTATTACAATGACATCATATTATTACAGGACTGAGAGTAAGAGCAGAGTCCTGGATCTACGGCCACAGTAAGTTCAGTTAAAGTGATAGTCTGTAACTCTAAATGAAATACAAATTTTAGGAAATGTGTTAAATTGACCTCTTGGCCTTAAATGTTGATATAAAATAAGTAATTTTATGCATTCTAATATTACGGCCAAGTCCTGCCTTCCCTTCTCTTAGCTATAGCTCAGAATCCACGATGCCGTCCACATTAACCAATCGAGTCATGCCAAGGGCTGTCAATCATCGGCGCTGATGCTCGCAGCTGCGCGCATGCGCAGTTGTTTGTTTTCGCGGAGCCTCCGAATCAAGCCTTTATTAGGCTCTGGAACTATATGAAAACTGAACAAAGAATTCTGAACATCCGCTCTGAGTTACTTATGTATATACTGAACCTATATCCATAATCATTTTTATACTGAACCTATATCCATAATCATTTATATACTGAACCTATATCCATAATCATTTATATACTGAACCTATATCCATAATCATTTATATACTGAACCTATATCCATAATCATTTATATACTGAACCTATATCCATAATCATTTTTATACTGAACCTATATCCATAATCATTTATATACTGAACCTATATCCATAATCATTTATATACTGAACCTATATCCATAATCATTTATATACTGAACCTATATCCATAATCATTTATATACTGAACCTATATCCATAATCATTTATATACTGAACCTATATCCATAATCAGATCCTCTGCAGATGTGTCCTATAATGTTCAATACATGATAATAGCTTGTTCCGGGTTTGCCTCAACCGCTTTTTTTGTGCATAAAAACATTATTTTTTTCATTAAAACGTTAACAAATAATTCTGAAAACCTCCGTCCATGTGTATTAATAATGTATATGTATAATGTGTTCTCTGATTAACATTTAAAAGTGTTACGGAAACATAGGCGTAGACCAATCAGAAAGGAAGGGGGAGGAGCTTGTGTCGTTTTTTCAAATCAAGTACCTCTCTCTCTTTTTCTGACAAACTCCAGACAATCATTCACAATTCATTTCATAATTAGACACCCTTGAAACAACGTTTAGTTTTTGATCTAGTCTCAGTCCTGGATCTGGATATTGAGTCCCCTCTTTTCTATGTAAAAATTTTGTGACAGGCGTGGTGGCCAAGTGGTAAGGCGTTGGTCTTGTAAACCAAAGATCATGGGTCCGACCCCCATCCATGCCTTTAAGCTGATTTCTCAGACAGCCTCAGGTCATTTTATCCATGGTGGTCCAATTGGATGGCTCTCTATTGAAAAGATTTACCTTATATGTCACAGGTGTGGTGGCCAAGTGGTAAGGTGTTGGTCTTGTAAACCAAAGGTCATGGGTTCAAATCCCATCCATGCCTTTGGACTGATTACTCAAAAATGGTAGTTGTATCATGTGTGTACCCTCTCAGGAATGTGTTATATACAGTAGAATACTAAGCATTAAAGTGCACTCATATATCAGTAAATAATGTAGGTCTCTTAATTTCTGCTGCAGCCCTTTGTGTGGGAGTGGTGGGCAAGTGGAAGGCGTTGGACTTGTAAACTAAAGATCATGGGTTCGATCCCCTTTCCTACCTTTAATCATGACTCTCATAAACTGCAGTTGTCTCTTGAACCATGTCGTCATTCGTGGACAGTTGTTGAGTTGTTCTTGTAATTCCATCATCATGGACTTGCTTCCCAACCATCCCATTTCATTCACTTTAATTTGGTGCATTGCCTTTAGCACCAGTCTCTTCCCATTTCATAAATCCGTCATTTTAGTAATCACTGCTTCAGTCCTAGCTAGTCTCTACAGTCTGAGGCGTGGTGGACAAGTCGCAGGGCAAACCTGGGCAAAGTGCGGCCCCGGGGGTCAGCTACTACTATTGGTCTGTTGCTTGTTTAAACTGTTTTTTTTTTTTATACTATTTTTGTATTTGTTCTGACCCACGTTGTTACTACAGTATCTGCACGTTGATACAGATCATGTCAAAAACTTTGAATCCTCTGTCTTCATCGACAAGTGGTCATCCCGCCTTCTATAAACCAATGAATTCTGAACAATCTAGAAATAAAACACCTGAAGATATTGTGCCCTTTCTCCACTTGTTTTTTTGGTTGCCTTTTCAACAAATATTGGTGAAGCAACTCGGACCAAAATGTAGATCAATCCAAACACTGTCGGTTGAACTAATTAGAGTGTTGTCTGGCTCAGAGTGCGGAGGGCTAAAGGTCAGGAACTCTTGCTTTTATATCCTTAAAGACCTCAGTGTCAAAGCTTAGATTTATCAACATTCATGGACATTGGTCAACTCCCCCATGGACCAATACTTATGTGTTCTACTACTGTTGTGATTTAAGGCAATACAGGAATAAACTGATTAGAATTGAAAGCTTATTCCATGACAGTAGATTATTTGTGGAAAAACACATTCTTCTCTGACCTCAAGGTAAATCTCTGATCTCGTTCTCTCATGCATGTCCCTCCACTGTTGTTCCTCTGTCGCTCTACAGCCCCCCCTTCAGGCTGCTCTTTGATTCCCTGCTCATAAATAATGCTCTTTTGTGTTGCCTGATATGTTCCCTGTTGTAATGACAGCGCTGCTTAATAAATAATGAATCTCTCTTGTCCAACCTGGCAAGCATCTCCTGTTTCATATTGGCTCAATTATTCATTTGGAATGCCACATACACTCAAACATGCTCTGCTGCGATGGAAGTGAAGAGAACCAGAAGTGAGTCCAGTCATCACCGTGAGACCTGAGGAAAGAGGTGGAGTTCAAGTCATTTCAATCCAATGTATTATTGCACAGCACTCACAACTTACAACAGCTGAGGACTTTACAAAGTTGTCAATTCCCCATCAACAGATCAGAGAATCAAACAGTTCAAACACTGGATGCAATAATAACATCACAAAGAAGCCATTGCTCTACAGGGAGCAGGATGAACACTGTACGGAAATGTTAATACATATCTCTAAATGTCCTTAGTCTCTCCTGCAAAGTAAAAAATAAATTAAAAAAAAGGTGGTTAAAAAAATAGACCCATATTGAGAGAAGTATCTGCTCCCACAGGTGGACCAGCTGTATTTATATGAATCCTTGATCTTCCAAAACAGCACAGACAGACTGAGCCATGTGGTTGGTCTTCAAAGATAACTTCAGTCTCTGTGTCAGCTGTGTGCCGATAGAACCCATGTTGTTCAGGTCAGACTTGTTACGAACAATAGCAATAAAAACATGTGAAAACGCCGTGTTTGTGTTTCGTTCTTTGTTATTTCTGCTGCTCTCCTCTGTGTGGGTGTGCTAAGACGTTGTTTTTGTAAACCAAAGATCATGGGTTCGCTCCGCATCCATGCCTAAAATCCGGACTCTTATAGGCAGCAGTTGTTTCTCTAACATGTCTAATGTTGTGTCACTTGCCTTCAGCTTTGAACCATGTTGTTCTCTAGTGGACAGTTGGTGAGATCTTGTTGTAATTCATCCCCAACTGTTCCATTCCATTCACTTTAAATCAGTGCATTGTCATCAACACCACCAGTCTCTTCCCGTTTCAAAAATCCTTTCTTTTAGTAATCACTGCTTCAGGACTAGTTTCCACGGTCTGAGGCGTGGCCAAGTCATAAGGCATGTTGCTCATGGTTCCACCTTATTTAGCATTTATGACTTGTTTGTTTTCCATGAATCCTTGATCTGTCTATTGTTACTAAAACTTCGATCTGTATCATACTGTCAGAGGCGTGGTGGCCAAGTGGTAAGGCGTTGGTCTTGTAAACCAAAGATCATGGGTTCAATCCCCATCCATGCCTATCAGGGGGCAGTGGTTCATTTACAGTTCTATTGAAAGTGCTATTGATTGTATGGCGCTGATGAATTTGGTGAGAAAACATTTGTCATTTCACTCAAATGTTACCCAAAATAGACCAGTTGTAGTTCAATTTTAGGGATGGAGAGATTCACCGATTCGCATCTGATTAAATGTTTATGAGTCCAAAGGTGGGAAAAGCAATATGTGTATCCTTTGATTTACCACCCAGTAATCTGTAAGTAATCCATGCTTGCTATAACTTATTTATTACGTAGATGTCCATGTAAAATAATATCCATTTGTAATTTCCAAAATATAGTCCATTCTTGAGATATTATCCAGAAATGTGTGGTTTTCTTTTGCGGAAAAAAAGTCTTCAAAGACATCACAAGTTGCTTTTTCCCACTTTGCTAAAACGATTGGTGGATTTTCTTTGAGCACATTTCCAAAAAAAAAAATGCAGAAAAAACTTTCCCCTTACTCAAGTCAGGTCTAAGTAAAGCATGGGTTCCCAAACTAAGGCCCGCGGGCCGGATACGGCCCGCCACGCCTCTTTGACCGGCCCTCCACCTCTGAGCAGCTAGTTGCAAAAAAAAAAAAAAAAAAAAAATGTATTTTATATATTTTATTTGGTTTTAGATAACACTAAAATATTTGTATTAACCATTTATATTTATATAATTGCATGTGTCTGTATTATTTTTATGATTTATCGTTATGACCGAATTTCTGCCACCTCACTGATCGAGGAAGTCATGCGCAGAGAATAGCAGCAGTTGAACAGCAGTGCAATGGCGTGCAGTAAAGTGAGGAAAATTGATCGAGAGTGCCGGGTTTTTAATGAACAATGGACCAGGGATTATTTTTTTGTTCCATGGAAGGACCGTGCCATTTGTATTATATGTAAAGAAAACGTGTCCGTGTTTAAAGAATACAACCTTCGCCGCCATCACGAAACCCGTCACAAGGAGTATGCTAGCTTGAAAGGGGCAGCGAGAGATGACAAAGTTCGGCGACTGAAAGGTGGGCTAGCAGCTCAGCAGGATGCCCTGCTCCGTCAATCACGGGCCAACCTGGCTGCTGTCCGAGCAAGCTACAAAGCAGCTAACCTACTGGCTATTCACGGCAAGCCGTTCACGGACGGTGAATTCGGGAAGGCTATGATGCTGGCTGTGTCTGAGGAAGTGTGCCCCGAGAAGACGGATACCTTCAGAGGGGTGAGTCTCTCGGCACAAAGCATGACTAGGCGAATTGAGGAGATGGGGGAAAACGTCCTTGACCAACTCAGAGAGAAAGCGAAAGATTTTGTTTTTTTTGCTTTAGCCATGGATGAGAGTAATGACGTGAAGGACACGGCACAGCTCTTGATTTTTATCCGTGGTGTTAACGCTCGTTTTGAGGTATCAGAGGAGCTAGCATCTCTGAACAGTTTAAAAGGGACAACAACGGGTGAAAACATATTCGCCGAAGTTTGCAAAACAATGGACGAGCTTGGTCTGCAATGGACGAAGTTTGCCAGTGTTACAACAGATGGTGCGCCTTGCATGGTCGGATCGACAAGGGGGCTAGTAGGGCGCTTGAACGGCGAGTTCGAGGAGCGAGGTCTCGCTCCACCGATTCAAGTTCACTGTTTGATCCACCAGCAAGCGCTGTGCTGCAAAGTGTTAAAGTGGGTGTCTGTGATGAAGGTGGTCGTGCAGTGTGTCAACTACATCCGGAAAAATGGGCTGAAACACAGGCAGTTCCAGGCCTTTCTCTCCGAATTGGGGTCTGCCTACCAGGATGTGCTGTACTACACCGAAATTCGATGGCTTAGTCGAGGCAAAGTATTGCGCCGTTTCTACGACCTGCTGCCCGAAATTAATACCTTCCTCCAGTCTAAAGGTGAAACGGTACAGGAGCTGACGGACCCGGGGCGGAAATGGGACCTCGCGTTTTTAACTGATGTGACTGAAGTGTTGAACCACCTCAACCTACAGCTCCAAGGCAAAGGGAATCTCATCAGTGACATGTATTCCCACATAAAAGCATTCGAGGTCAAACTGCAGCTCCTTCTGCGACAGGTCCAAAAGCTGGACTTCACACATTTCCCTGCCACCCAAATGTACTGCGCCGAGAAACCAGCTGCCCCTTTCCCTGTCGCGAAGTGCAAGGATGCCCTGGAGATGCTGCAGCGAGAGTTCAGTGTGCGCTTCCGCGAGCTTCATGTCAACAACAAAGACATACGTCTGTTCCAGAACCCGTTTGCTGCTGACATAGACGACGCACGTCCCTCTCTTCAGTTTGAACTAGCCGAGCTGCAGAATTGTGATGTCCTTAAAGACGCATTCAAGCCTGACAGCCTACTTGAGTTCTATGCTGCTCTACCAGAGTGCACATACCCAAACATCAAACAACATGCTCTGAGGATGTGCACCGCATTTGGCAGCACCTACACGTGTGAGCAGACGTTTTCCCGCATGAAGCAAATAAAAAATCCAACGAGGAACAGACTCTCAGATGAACATTTGCATCAAACTTTGAGACTGGCAACCACTAGGCTACACCCAGACATCGGACTTCTCGCCAGCCAGAAGCAGGCACACAGTTCACACTGATAGGTAAATATACTGATTTTAACTATTACAATTTTATGTGGCTGTAAACATGCATATAAACACGGACTATGCTTTTTGATGAAATATGATTGTTTTCATTCCATGTTAATGAATAATGCTACACTGTGGCCTATTTGTAAAATCACATCAAGGAACAACAGGCAGCATATCTAGAATTATGATTCAACTGAATGTGTCCAATCTCATCCCTTTATGCCAGGTTTCCAGGCAGCAGGAGAGGGGACTGCAACTGCTGACCTCAAAGATCACTGCCCATCACTTACCTGCCCATCCATCCTTCATCCCACCTTGGTTACAGCAAGTACAAATTCACTGCACATATTGCTGACTTCTGTTACTCTGTTATTCTGTTACTCTCTTCCGAGTGCAAATTGCTCTGTCTCTCATCTCCTCTCAATCTCTTCTCTCAGCATCTCTCTCTCTCTCTCTCTCTCTCTCTCTCTCTCTCTCTCTCTCTCTCTCTCTCTCAGCATCTCTCTCTCTCTCTCTCTCAGCATCTCTCTCTCTCTCTCAGCATCTCTCTCAGCATCTCTCTCTCTCTCTCAGCATCTCTCTCTCTCTCTCAGCATCTCTCTCTCTCAGCATCTCTCTCTCTCTCTCAGCATCTCTCTCAGCATCTCTCTCAGCATCTCTCTCAGCATCTCTCTCAGCATCTCTCTCTCTCTCTCAGCATCTCTCTCTCTCTCTCAGCATCTCTCTCTCTCAGCATCTCTCTCTCTCTCTCAGCATCTCTCTCAGCATCTCTCTCTCTCTCTCAGCATCTCTCTCTCTCTCAGCATCTCCTCTCTCTCTCTCTTCTCTCTCTCTCTCTCTCTCTCTCTGCACTGCCCCTCATCTCAATCTCCTATTTCAAAGGGTTATAAATCACTGTTTTAGGTTTGTTGATATAATGGTCATGGCAAACTTTGTTTTATATATTATTATTGGTCAATTTGATTTCATGATCTACATGTGAGCTATTATAGAGCAATGAAGTTCTGTTTGTTGTTGCTCTTTCTGTAATTTAAATGTTTTTAATGCATTCAGTTTGTGACATGTATGATGCACTTAATTATAACTAATAGCTAAGCCTTACTCTGAATTTTATTGTTTATTTTTTTCAATGCATTCAGTTTATTTGACCTGTATGGTGCACTTAATTATAACTCATCAATAGGCCTTCCTACAGTTTGTAATTTTCACTAACCTAGTGTGAATGACCAGAAGTTTCTTGTCTTGATAGTTTCTCATCTCACTGGAAGTTAAACAGGCCTTCCCTTTCTCTTGTATCACTCATAAACTCAATCACCATATTTTTCTAACCTTTCCCTGCTATTTTTACATGGTTGTTATTAGAAAATAAAAGGAATACCTGTGGTATTTCAAATTGGAAAAACGTGAAGAACTCACTTCTTTTGTAAATCACTTGTAATGATGAACTATTTTGTGCTTGAAATTATGGCTATAACTGGCCGTGGCCGAGTATACAGCCCATATGATTGATCCCGGCCCCTCAACACAGTCAGGAACGATAATGTGGCCCCCAGAGAAAAAAGTTTGGGGACCCCTGAAGTAAAGGATGCTCTTGTGTAGTGTGACGGCAGTGTTCCATATACTGCCCATCCAACATGGCGGCGTAGTAACGGTTGCTATGTACGTCACGCGGTGGTGCAAAACCTCATTGCTCTGTTATTTAACCGTGGGCCTGGTTCTATCCAGTGATTGGCCAGAGTGATGCTGGAAGCCATATTTACCACTGAATATACAGTACATACATTTTTTGTGTGGGTAGAATGCAGGGATACAATACTGGATGATAAAGTGCAATAGAAATCCAACCAGGTAGAGTAGAGTATAGTAGATTAGAGTGGATTAGATTAGAGTATAGTAGATTAGAGTAGAGCAGAGGTGTTGGCAACAGGACTTATGTAACCCAGTCCACTGCCACTCCCTGAACACAGAGGGCTGGATCCGAACAGTGGGGACTCTCTCTGGGATGACGTGTGTTCTGCTGCCGGTGGATTTCCTGCGATTTCATCAGAAACAAAATGGCGGCATGGCTCCTCCGCAGACAACAGGAGGCTGACGTACGGCGTGGGCGAGCCCTGAGAACCTCCACAGAACACAGAGGCATCTGCGAGTCTGGGTTCCAGCCGTGAGCTCGCCTGCTGCTAACTCACTAATGATTCCTGTATTTATGTGGATGCCAGGCTGTTCCCAGGGCGCGGAGATAAGTGATAGCGTGGAAGAGTTTTTGTAATTATGGCCCAAAGGTTGATCTGCGGTACACCCTCTTTTAGGGGGAGTTTTGTTGGATACTTTAGTTTTTGATATGCCTGAATAGTTGCACTGCACGGCTTTAGGCTTTCATTCTACAATAGGCTCATGAGTGACTTTTGAGGGTTCAATTATTACAGAAATAAGATACATTGTTTAAAATAACTTTAACTTATAAACTGCATAAATATGTATCTTATGGTGCTCTCTACATGTCCTGGTCAATATTTTGACATTTTAGTGCAAATTAGATAAAATATCACTTTTGTCATTATTAATTTGCTCCATACACAACGGTGATGAACTACAACTGGAGCCAAAGCTGCCCTGGGGCACACTGACAGAAAAGCAAGGCAATCAGTCTGTGGCATCTGCCCCTCTGATCACCACCAACCGGACTCATTCTAGGCAATGTGGGTGAAGTGTCTTGCCTGAGGACACAACGACAGATTGGCACTTTTCCTTCTCAACCGCCCTACCATAGCAACTGGTGATTCCAGAAGTCTCCCATCACAGTACTAACCAGGCCCTGTCCTTCTTAGCTATGAAGGTCTCACGGGATATGGATACTGCATGCAAGTATGACCCCAAATATTTAAGGCATTTGTGTCCCACTAACGAGTAATATGTGTTCTTCCTCTTACAGTTTTTCTCAGTCGCTTTGGTGCATTTCTCACATCATTCTTCACATTTGCACAACTGTTGGTGCATTTCTCAGAACAATTAGTGTAAACTGCAGAACCTCGTGGATAACCTGCAAAAGTGCGTCACTTTCTCAAAATGAAAAGTGTTTTCCTCAAAAGCAAGTCCAAACGTTAATAAAACTGTCTATGTTGTCAAAATAATATGTCCTAACAACATTGAGTATGAACATCACAGTCAAATGACTTAGTCATGTTTTCATTGTGAAAGTTTACTCTCTGTGTTTTCAGTGTAAAAAAGTCAGATCTCGGTGACACTTGAGCACGACTATGAGCTCACTATACACGACCTGTGCAGCCATTTACAGTAAAAACTACAGTAAAGTTACACAAAGACTGTATTTAGAGACGTAACTGACATATATGTATGTATGTATGTGTGTATCTATGTATGTATGTATGTACTGTATGTATATGTATGTATGTACTGTATGTATGTATGTGTGTATCTATGTATGTACTGTATGTATATGTATGTATGTACGTGTGTATGTATGTATGTATGTACTGTATGTATGTATGTATGTACTGTATGTGTGTGTATATCTATGTATGTATGTACTGTATGTATATGTATGTATGTATGTATGTATGTGTACTGCATATGCTCTTTGTATTTTTGTTGCACAATGCTGTAGAAGTGCAGACACATACATGTATATACATTGAACAAACATACAGAAATATCATTATGGTATAACTGTGACAAAAATAAACAATAAAGCACACCTCAGAGTGAAGCTGAAATTCACCTGAGATAAATTGTTCAATTTAGGAAATATTTACAGGAAAAAAAAGATAAAGGAATCTATGAAATTAGCTTGACAGTTATGATTTTGAGAACTAGTTCAACAATTGTGTATGTGATGACCAAAGCAATTAAATGAGAACAGTTAGTTTTATAGTGAATGACTATTCAGAAGTCATACAATACAATACACAATACAATTTATTCTTGTATAGCCCTAGGTCACAACAGAAGTCATCTCAGAGGACTTAACAAAACCATTGAAATCACCAACACAGGTCAGAGAATCAACAGTTAAAACACATGAAGAATACAGTATAAAGCACACACAGAAGAAAATGTCCATACATGTTGTAGAATGCTAAAGTGTCCTGATCATCACCAATCCTTTCTGTTGGACACTAACTGTCCAACAAGACCCTCCTGCATCGACAAGGAAAAACTCTTAAAAAACCCAGTGGGAAAAAGTGAGAAACCTTGGAGGAGAACTAGGGAAACCCACAGGGAGGGAGACCCATATGAGAAAGGGATCCGCTCCTCCGGACGGACAGGCTAATGATCTAGGACCTAAGCTAGCTACAGAACGTGGACCGGCCCGGTGCAGGACTGAAGCACTCCCAGGCGGGTCGGGCGGGGCAGTCCGCAGGTGTAGATGGAGGAGGCCAGGCTCAGAGATCCCGTCATCGTACCATGAAACAGACAATGGGACAACGGGTGAATAGCAATGAACAAACTACAGTCAGAATCCTAAAAATGCTAAACAGATAAAGTAGGAAGGAGGAGAGGATAGTGCTCAAGTTACCATACTTCTCCCAGCAAACTGACTCCCTATGCAGCTTGACTAACACTCTGAGGAGTTTAACCTTCTCCGAGTCTTACCTTCCTAGCCATATGCTAAACTAAAGAGGACTGTTTTAAACCTAGCCTTGAATAAAGAATAACATACAGCATAATATATAACATAATATACAACATAACACAATACATTATTGAATAATATATAACATAATATATAACATAATACAGCATATATATATAATATATACACTACAAGTCATAAGTATGTTTCATTCTGACTGACAGGACAGAAGCAAATGATAATGTTAAAAAAACGCCGAGAATTGTTTGAAAGTTATTGATACATGAACGAAAGCATTTGAAATGTGTTCAGAGGAATGAGAAACTGCCGTGATGATGTGCACCAATGACCCAATGTTGTGGAGGTTGAACTAATAGTTTTGAGAAGTTTAAGTCTGATGTGAGAAATGCACCAA